ATAGATTTAATTGTGCATATTATTGGTTTTCTTCCTATGATACATCTGCATCCTCAATACCAAAGAAGTAGTATAATGCCATACATCAAAGCATAGGAAATTTAAAACCTCTTAAATGTAACCTCAGAAAATGATTACTAAAACTTCTTGCCAAACATCTGAGTGCTGACAGGTTGCCCTTCCAGGTTTTCATCTGAAGTCTGCAAGCCAATGGATAAAGTCTAAAATTGCACTTATGTTCCAAAATACTAACAACTGCATCAAGTATGAAAGGCAATGGAAGTGCCAAGATCACAGAGCCTACAGTAAATATTCCTTTAAGTGAAGGGCTGACTGTTGGAAGAGGAGAAAAATCCTCAAATGACATAAAAGGAAACATGAATCAAGAATTTCAGCTAAAAAGATTTAGCAGATTCATCCCACTTAACTTTACCACTTAGGAGAACTGCACTTTGGTGTCTTTAACTTATAGATTCCGATTATATCCACAAAAGGATAAAGTTTGGATGTAGATAAAAGACGGCACAGAAGTTTGGTGTGCTATACTCAACAATTCTGGACACAAAATGCCCTCTTTTTCACAAGTAATACTGACATATAAATATTTTTACTTGCTCTTTTCCTTGCTGGACCCTTTCCAAAGGTGATTCAAACTGCTAACCTAACTGACAACAATTCACCTTTGTAGGTTTCTTTTCTTTTTGGTCAGGTTTCTGTCTAGTGATCTGAATGGTCCCAGTGCAGCATCAGAGATGTGCCAGAGCTGGTGCAAGAGGAGGAAAGAGAAGGAGAATCAGGAGCAAAGAGGTAAGTGTTAATAGGTTAATAGGTATTGCGTCAACGCAGGCACAATATATAAAGGAACATTATTCTTACTTGTGCTCCCCTGATTACATGAAGCACAAGGGCGACAAGGGTCCACATTTTGGGGAAAGTGCTGAAGTTAAGAGTGGAAGAATGAAGGCTACAGGTCCTTTCCTTTTTTTTTGCTGTGGTTTGGTTACCCACAGTTAAAAGACAGAGGGTCAAAAGTGCAAAGTCCAGCTGATTAAAAAGAGAACACAGACTCAAACAACAATTAAAAAAAAAAAATCTGGATTTGAAATAGCCATTTTTTTTTAAAAAAAAAGAACACTGTTTACTAGAAGGTTACTAACGGGAGCCCCCATTGTTCCTCCAAACAATGTTTTATGCTCTTCTAATGGAGCTGGAAAAACAATTAAAACTCCTATTGGTTATCTTGACAAAACATATAAAATTTCTTAGTCTGAAACCAGATGAAAAATTTGGCTGTACTAGCTGTACTTGTTATCATGTGTTAAGGCCTTTACAAATGGCATCACAACACTGTGTACCCCAGTTCCTTCTGACAGCTCAGAGGGCAGCAGCACTATGAGGGCTTTAGTATGAACCCCTAAGAACATAATCCCATCATGATCCCGGATACTGATCATTCATGATAATGCCATTGAACTCCCTCTAAAATTGTGAAGTTTGCATTTATCCATATTATGATTAGAAATTTTGTTGTACCAGCCAATTCTCAGTGACCTAACTGAAATGCTATATTAAAAAGTTTCTCATATTCATTTACTAATTCAGAAAAAAAAAAGGCAATAGCAGGCCAAGAAACAGTTAGGAATTTGCGCCAAGCATATAGCCTAAGGAAACTAAGAAAAGCTTCAGTTTTTCTCCTTCATGAACGGACCCAACCTTTTAAGGATGTGTATAGTCAGATGGCCAATTTTCACTGTAGTTTCCCACAGCAAAATATAATCACCATCATCAAATTAGCTGTCTACATAATTTGAAATAATGAACTACTTTATTATGTGAATAGCTAGTGTCATTTTTTCCTGTACTAAAAGAACTTACGCAAGAGCCCTGTATAAATTCTTCCAAGATTCAGACTTTAAATATTAAAACTTTTTTCTACCAAAATTAAAATATGTGGAAAAGGGAGTAAGATTAAGCATGAATGCAAGTTCTTTATTTAGAAAGTATATAAAATGCTGTAATTACCTCCAAAGCAAGCATTATGAATCCAGCTGATATCACAAGGAGATAAAAATGAAAAAACCCTACCTCTCAAACTCTAAATTTCATTAAAAAGAGTTAATACAGTCTGAGACCACACAGGCTGGAATACCTTAAGTCAAAACTGTATATTTATTGAAACATGTCAGTTTAATACAGCACTAACTTCGTTTTGGAATTTTGTTTGTACTTTTAACATACCTAAACTTGATTTTATGTTAACTATGGATATCTTGGACTTATCTATTCAAGAATCCCAATGTTTTTACTTGCAAACATGAAGGTAACAAGGTAATTTCTAAGATATGACAGTTCAGTATGTGCAATGACTAAACAAGACTGATTGTAATCAATGATAGCATGTACAGAACACATAAACCCATAATTCGTATTTCTCAAATTGCATAAATCTGTATTTAGAGACTGCATGTTACTTTTACTTAAAAGCACATACCTTGTCTAAATGAAGTTAAGTCTATGATTAGAAAATTTGGATTTTTTTTTTTCCTATTAGCAGGGATAGTTATTGGGAAGTGGTGATGTTACCGCATATTTAACCTTTTCCTTAAGATGGAAAAAAAAAAATTAGTTGAAGCCTACCTCACTGTAAACTAAGTTGTCCTATTGTGTACAAATATTTCAATACATGAAGTAATTGCCTTTTCCAGAAATCCATAAACTGTAAAACTCTGCATTAAAAGTAAAAAGTAAAAGGCTGCATTAGGAACAAACAGAAATGACAAATCTAAACCACATACACAAGCCACCTATTTTTGCACATTTTTATAAACCAACTTTAGCTAATTTTTGTGTTCCTTAGGGTTTTTTTTTGTGCATTGTACAAGCATTTCATAATTTTCTTCCCCCAAACAGACAACTTTGAATATTTCTTTTTCAGTATTTATATCATTTTCTGCATAGTAGACTTTAAAAACTGTCATCACTGTTACACAGGTAAACAACATGACTAATATGGCCTATTTTTCATAGATCTAAAAAGAATTTTGACAAAACAGTAGTAATTTTGGAAAAAATTTGCTCAATTTCTTAACATCCAGGCTATGAGGAACATTCAAGATGTAGACTGGTTTAGACTTCATTATTTGTTTTCTTTTATATAAAGCCTGCCTCACTCAGCCTTGCTTGAGTTATTTGCCAGAGTCTGAAAATTTTAAGTGGTCAAATGACACAACATGGGTATAGGCATTGGAAAGAATAGCTATCGAATGGTTACTTCTGATCCATCCACAGATGATCCTGCCAGGTCAATGACACCTGCAGGTTGGGGAAGCACGTTCAATTACTCTTTTCTGTATTTTAATTTCTATGCATGGAGCTTCACAAGCACTAATATTCAGAGAGTTAAATGCAAAAAACTATTCTAGAAGGAAACTGCATCAGACAAACATCCAGTGCAATTCAGCACTGAAAGTAAACAACTGAAGAACATTATTTCTTTTTACTTTTAAGGTGATCGTTTCACATTTGAGATCTGCACTAACACAACATAATTAATACAGTTTTACTTAAGGCTTCCTTAGACTCAGCTGTCAATGAAATTGTTTTGGTTTGGTTCTAGGAAAAAACAGCTTTGTAACTGGTTAGCAGACACGAACTGGTTTGGACCATTACGTGAGTTTTGATTTCCTGATCTAAGAAAAGAATTTGGGGGAATAGCAAGGAAAGCAGATGGAGAACAATTCTGAAGGCAGAGTGAAAGGACTTCAAGAGGTGCATGGACAGTCAGTTTTCTATGGAAATACTGGCATTAATATGAGTGATAATGCAATCTCTGAAAGGATATTTTAGGGGAGTTGTAGAATCTCCTTCTACAGTTCTTCTCTCTTCCCAGTCAGAAAACTGGAAGGACATATTCAGAGAACCATTGATATGACACTATGATGATCTTTCCGAATACGTAACTGGCTATTTAGGTCCCATCACCACCAATATATAACTTGTGCTGTTTTCCCTCACATTCATAGATTTTGATTCATTAATGTTGTATCTTCTCTGCAAATCCTTGTCAAATCATTTAGCAGCTCTAGGAGACCAGTTAAGAACTTCTCATGGTAAGCTTTTGGATTTGTATCTTCAGTATTCTACAGCTTCAGCAACTTTCCATATTACCATTCACCTTTTTTCAGATCATTTGCATATGGGACTCATTCAGTAAACTTTATTTATTTCTATCCTTTGCTCCAGACATTTAATCTACAGAAAGATTTTCTCTCATACTCTATGACATGTTAGTCTCTTAAGATTGCTTAGAGAGAAATATGGACAAAATCCTTTTAGGAATCCCCATATGGAGCATTTATGTCTAAATGGCAAGATTTTGCATACTTTCAGGATTGAGAGTGCATTCTGGTAGCATCTCGATTCCTTGCTTGGATGAAACACATGCAAGTACATACAGAAGTACCCTGACTTTTGTCTGGATGAAACCTGTGTGACTACCATCCTGTTTTCTCTCCCCAAATCCTATTTTGGAGATGAAAATAAACTCAGATATGTGTACTGGAAATGAACTGGACAATGCTTTGTCCAGGTTTTTGAACTCAATAACTGGGGAGAAGGGAGAGACCTGGGCCATACTGTGGCACATGCAGGTCTTGCAGGTTACATGTGTTATTAATTTCACTACCTTTACCTAAATACTCACTAAATCCTTGCAAATGCTGAATACTTTGCAAGGCACATCTGTTGTATAAGAAAGAAAAGAAAGAACAGTGAGATTAAGTCATCAAAAAGAATTCAGCAACTGAGAGTGTAACTAACTCAGAGCACAACTGAGAGCCTCCTGAGTGCCTGACAGACATGATTACCTCTGTGTCTGAAAGCAACACAGACAAAACCCCAAGAAATCAAACCAAAGTAAACCAACTTTCCCCCATGGTTTAAGGCTGAAAAAAGGGAAAAAAAACACACTGATAGCAGTAATGCTAAACCAGGAAGATTACCTCACGGTGATTTAGAAGTCTCTCCAAATCTGTTGCCATTTGATTCTTGACACGCAGCAAAGCTGTCTTTTCTTTATTTAAAAGACTGGGAAAAAGAGGATAGGAAATACAGTAATAGCAACAGATAATCTCTTTTAATCTTGTATTCTGGCTGAAACATGCATTTTCTAAAGCTAAATACTGGCAACGAGGAAAATCTGCTCAAGTAATTGTATCAAATGATCCTTCTCTATGTTCAAGCACTGGAACTGTTTATAAATAGGCCTGAATGTACTGATACATACAAAATCTCACTTTAGTTGAACAGAAATACTACTCAAAATCATCATAAAATATGGGGGTGAGGGTAGTGTTGATTCTCTTAAGAATTTAAACTATCAGAATCTTCTGTCTTGCTTTCTTCTATGCAAAATGAGCTCATTTTATAAATAAAGTAAGGCTCCATATATCTACATTTCTATATCAAAATGTGTATTTCTTTGTTGCATGCATCACTAGTAGCGGCAAACACTATTCTCTCAGTATCACCTATTTTTATACTACTGTATTAAGGATTTTGAAAGTAACAACTACAACTACAAGGTAGAACATCATCTAACTCTCCCTTTTAGCTGTGTAGTTTCTGCAGAATTTGTAAATTTTTTTGCCTTTTTTTTTTTGTTTTATATTCCTGGACAATGCATGGGGTCAAGTTTATCCTGTGAACCAAGTATGAAAACTGTTTTAGCATGAAGGCATGCTTTTATAGCACAATGTCAAGTTTAATTGTTCTTTGTTTTCCCAGTTACAGAATGCAAACATTTGACGTGTTTAGCATATACATTCTGATTCCAGGCAGCAATTCTAATATAATTAAATGTATTTTTGTATTTAGCCCCCACATTGGTTTCTATCAATAAACTTCAGACTCATACATGCATAATGCCAGTATATAATCTAGTTTGTTAAAACGACCACAGAGGTTTTCTTGGAAGACCAATGGTATATATGCCATTATCATGATGTAAGTAAATAGGTTGCACAACTTGAATTATAACATAAATCAACAACTATGCAATTCTGCATATGAAGTGCAAATATGCAATGCTGAATAGAGGTCAGGAAGTTCAAAAGCAAATGTATTAAAATTTTATAAATGCAATAGAACAATTATATGTTACAAATTATTTAATACTCCCAGTATTTAATCCAGGAATGATTAACAAAATAAATCAAACTTTTCTTTAATTGGCTGTTATCATCTGTTTGCTTCAAATAGGCAACATCATTCTTTGCCACAGAAATTTTCCTAGCAAGCTCGGTTTTGTAAATTATGACTATCAATTTCTTCTAGGCATTCATTAACTCTCAGAAAACTTGTAAGTTTTGGCAAAATTGCTCAGTTGTCTGAGTTATTTAAAAGCAAAGTAGTAACATTCATGAAAAACTACAAAGTTTAATATTTTCAAGAGTTATTTTCTATGACATTTTTAATCATGATGAACTTGCAGTACTATATTTTTCCTGGGTTCATATGTTGTAACTGACTGATATGTCATTTTTCCTTGGATTTCTGTACTTCCTAATAGCATAAACCAATCCTTTCAGAGACTCACAAACTTATTAGAGAAGCAATAATAAAAGTTCCTTTATGCCTTAAATAGTGTACGGAATAAGCATAAGCATTAGTGTTCATGGCTAAACCAGAAGTTCACATTCAGCGTTCAATTTCATCTACAGAACAGAACCTATTCTAGTTATACCTTCTGAAACAGTATGACATGACTGATCTATATTGAGCAGTTGCAACTTTCTTCTTTCTTTGTTTATGGTCAAATATAGAAATTAGACTGCTACATGACTCAGTACCACTTGATGTGTCTTATGCCATACATATGAATACAGAATTACCAAAGGGTGTGCAGACTTCAGATTTAATAGTTCTGCAACTGCAGAGAGGGGGAAATAAATACTTGTGAAAGAATACTGCAAAAGAGGCACACATACATTTAAAAGCAGTTACCAGACATCACAAAGTAAATTCATACCTCTAATGAGCAAGTAAAGCAGAAATACCTTCAAAAATTCACTTTGGGGAAGAAGACTGACCATTTCTGTCCCTCTTATGAAAACATTCTTAACAGGCAGCTTGGGTATCTGCAATCCTACTTGATTCAGTCAAGGAGGTTCTAGCTTTAAACTACCTTACACTTCATCAAACAATAGTTTAAGTTAATCCAGTTTTAATGGGCAGTGTAGCAAATCAGAGAGCAGCTTTACAGTTTGTTTCACCTGCCCTAAGTGAAAATTGATGCTGAAAAATCATCCTTCCCTAATAACATACTGGTAACCTGCTCTTTATACTGGTATCTGAAAATTTGTTACCATGTAAGTAGGTCACTTCACTGGAAGCTGTAGTCTTTATTTTTCACAGGGATCACCAAAACAACTTGATTTACCATGTACAGCGGAAAAACACAGCTGAAACAAGGATGAAACTATTCCATTTAGTAACTGAGTGCCTTAACTGTCTTACTGTGATTCTGAAACCACAGTCTCTAAGTCTAGACAAACCAGATTCTCACACCAAGGGTTACAACTTTCATCTTAAGAGACAAGATCTTCTTTACTATCTTTAACTAACCATACTTTAAAGTTTTCATGATACAGAGATGTATTAATGTACTAGAGTACTAATCATTGAAAGAAATCTTCCAATGACTTGCTCTGGGGTGAAACTGTGTAAACACTTGGGAAAAATGGACTGTGTTGAAGTGATACAATATCCTTGCAGCTATTTAACAGCACAAACTCTGTTTTCACACTGCAGATGTAGACTAGGCTATGCTCCACACTCCTGGTCACTGACTGCTCCATCCTGAATGTGCAGAAGGTGGTCTTTGTGATACATCATATAAGCGAGGCCTCCAAAGTCCCGGTTGGAGAATTAACTGAGGAGCAATGCAGCTCTGCTTTTTCTTGTATGTCTTGATTTCCAGAAGAAACCAAATGTCTGGGAGGAGACTCAGTTTCATTCCGTCATGCTTTCAAAACCTAACCAGGTATGAATCCAGGTGCCAGGAATGCAGGACTTACCATGGAATACACTTGTCTTATACATACACATTGTTCATAGCAACCACTGGATTGTTTTGTTTTGTCAGGATCTAAAGCCAAGGTAGCTTGGTTGTCATAAAGACATTTTTAGGTGACCTGATTTTTTTTTTTTTTTTTTTTTTTGAGAATGGAGACTAATATTTTCCAGTCTCAGACTTTTAAAACCTTTTGAATTTGGGCAATTAGCCCAAATCTCTGCTAGCTACTATATTAGCTGCTATCCTGATCACAAACTTCTATTATTAGGTATTCTGCATAATGCACTTATGTTGGACACACTAAATAAACATGAATTTACATATTACTGGGTTTTATTATTACTTCTATTCAGGTTGAAGAAAAGAAATACATTTAGTTTTCAGTGATTGTGTACCCCAAATGCTGTAAGAAATAAGGCCTTTCTGTTAATTTCATGTTACAGCATGGTAAAAGTGAAAACAGAAGTCCAATCTTGAGGGGTTTTTTAACATTTTATAGTCATATACAAGTATTACCATAAAAAAATTATTATTGCTTAATAATGTTAAATTGAGTGCTTGAGGTGGCTTAAAAATTCATCTGTGTAGTGTCCAAACTGAAAAGAAATTCCTTTTACAAATTGTAGAAAAAAAAAACCCAAACAAATAACTTTTAAAAAGCTGTAATACAGGTCAGAAAACATTAATTTATAGAAAAAAATAAATATATTTCTACAAATTTTATTTGGAGCATTTCTCAGATTAAACTGGAGTAGCATTGGAATAGATGCATATTTCACAGAATGGTAGTGTTCTCGTAAGAGCTCACTGCCCATTCTGGGATAAGAAAAACTCATCTAACACTGTATGCTGAGCTTTGTAATGTTTAGATGGCAAACAGAGAACCCAAAATGTTTTAAGTAAGGAACATTTCAGTACATAGCTTCTTAGTGAGCAAAATCCTTGTACTGCTTCTGGATTTGCCACACAGTTAGGCTTTTGAGGAGTGCTTTTGGGTAAGTGAACCACTTTTAAAACCAGCCATCAGTACAGAGAAATTTGAGTAACTGCATTTAAAATAAATACCCTCTCTTTATGAATGAAGTCCTGTTTAATGTCTCCAGTTACTTATAAACCTAGATGTTTTTACCAGAAAATTATGTACTAAAACTACAGTTACTTCACTACACACATAAGAATAAAATTCAGAGATTTGTTTTCCCACAGCATGACACAGTTACAAGGCATTTCTTTTCAAAAGCAGTGCTAAATGTGATGTTTTCGTTTCTGGTTAAAGAACTGTATGCTAGAGAGATTTCTTTATAGTAATAAGGAGTCATCCTCTTACATGCCACTGCTTGTATTAACCATGGCTATTTGCTTTTATTAACAAGAGTGCTATGTAGGCTAACATAAACGAGAGGTTACTTAACAGAATATTCTGAGATACAAAGACCACCTATAAATTCACCCTGCAGATGCCCTGTCAGTCAAGAGCAGAGGCTTTGTTTCCAAAGTGTATCTGCAGGTGCATGGATCAGTGCACAAGCACATGCAGTGTTCTGCTCCCAAGACCACCTCAGTTTTCCCCATAGCTAAATGCCAGCACAGCCTGTGGCCTGGATGGGAGAATTCTAAAGGGATGGAAAGGAGGGTGATAGTGAACATACCTGTGGGTAACATCTGACAGAGCTTAGATTACCCCTAAATAACCTCTCTTTTTATCTTTGAGTGGTAATACACTCGTGCCTTCACACTTGAATCTAAGCAGTTACATCACACACCTGTAATAACCTGGAGATGGGAACCTAAGTTGTTTTTGCAAATAACTAACAATCGTTATAATTACAGCTACTCAGCTAAGCATTTACAACACTTCTTAGTGAAGGTATGGCTAAAGATCCACAGACATGTGAAAAATGTCTAGAATTGACACACTTCTCAGCAAGCCACTGAAGTATCTCCAGCTCTGGTGAAATATCCTACTTCGAGGCCTGGATTCCATCTTTTGACTATTCCTGTCCTTTCAAGG